TTCTGAACGAAGACGGTAGTCAGCCTGACATTACAAAGTACCTAGGTATATTTTCTGATATTATTATGATTAAACTATTAAAGTTACTTATTTTACTATTAGGCATAGGCAGAGGTTCAATTCATTTTTGCCGAAAAAATTGCGTTGGTGAATGTCATTATTGTATGTATAAAATATAATAATATACTATATACCTACTCTAAGAATTTCAACGCTGTTTTTTTTTTTTTTTTAATTACCACTTTAAACTATTTATGAGGAACCTTTTTCATTACATTTTCAAGTTTTTTGACAGAGTGAAATTTTTCTTATCGACAATAATTTAAAAAACAACTAATACAAATAGACATTTTTATATTCCTCTAATTATTTCAATACGATTCAAAATATTTTGAGAATCGTATAATGTATAGAAAATGTTGATATAAACATTCAATAGAAATTGCATGTACCTAAGTTTTTTAGAGTTACACCAACTCGTTTTGTCGAAATCTGATTTTGAGCAAAAATTTTTTTTTTGTTTTTTCCGGTACTTATGAAAACTACGGGGAATTTTAACTTTCCGAATAAAACAAAAAAATTCACATACCACCAGAAAAAATATTGAAATTTTAAATCGAAGCATTATTTCGACAAGTTATCGTGTACACAGACACAAAAAAATAAAATAAAATTCTTATAAAAAAACACACATCATTGTAAAATACATTCATCGCTCCGCAGTGAATCTAAAACTCTATATTTAATATTATATTTGTACATATGTGTTCATATTATAACTTCTACTAGTTAGGCGTTGAAAATCGGAATTGAATATCCTCAAGGAATCACACACACACAAAACCTTCAAATTTTTACGCGATTCAATGATATATTAAAATACCTAAAATATTAGGTTTATATGTATTACGTAGGTACACAATATTATGCATAAAACCGAATGGAGTACCGTTTTCCGACGTATGATCGATCGCGCAAAAAATGCAATAAATGATTTATTGCCATTATGAGTATTTTTGTTGTTAAAACACAAAAATATATAGTTATCTATATTTTTACTTATGCGTATAATAACGCCTCTCTCCGTATAAAACCGTATAAATATTTAGCGGAATTGTTGCGTAAAAATCTAACAGTTACGAATATTATATTATATTGTCAGTCGTTGTCACGATTCAACTTGAAATATCACATTGACTTCGGTGCAATCGTTCGCCTTATCATATTATTATTACATTGAATTATCGTGAACACGTACACACATGGGATATATACTCAGATTTTAACTTGCCTTGTTATCATAATATCATACACACAAAACAAAGTTTTAATATCCCGAATTTCGCATTAGTACAGAAAATGATATCTTGGTAGGTATGCTATTATACCCGACCACATTATTTTTTTTTTTTGCTGTTTAAAACGTAACGACACAGCGTCTTACTGTAGTGAAATTTGACTTTTTTGTGCTCGAAGCGTTTTTACCATCTGGATTACATTTATAAAATGTATTTGCTATATTAATATAACATGCTAGCCTCGGTTTGTCTTATAAATGCATTGCTCTAAAACACCATATTGTGTTTGAGTAAGTATTGCGAGTCAAAGTTGCTAACATTTTATTTTTGCATTGAAAACAGTTTTCTCAGAAAATACAGTCGAAACAAAAATAACGAACACCAGTCAGAGTCAGTTGTTATAAAATGCTTGTCACGAAGTTTTAAAAGTATTTACGTTATTTCTATCATTCTATACCTATTTATGTTTTTATACCTATATTTTTACTTTTTTGTTTTAGCGTTGTTATAATATTATGTTATACTATAGTATCATAATTTGTTTTACTTTTTAACTGAAATGTTATGCAATATCTGAAAACGTTTATACTAAACATTATTGTTACTATATATTATACAGAGCACGATTCACTGATCATGCTTGTCCTCATTTTATCGTTTGATAACGAATTTATTCAAATTCTGCCTGCGGAATGTGTAAGTAGGTACACTAATTAAATACCTGCAATGTTTTTAACTACATATTTAGATTCTTTATAACATATAATAATGAGTATGCATAATAAGACCAATAACTATACGTACACAATATTATTATTATAAAATTAAAAACTAATCATCTTCATTGTACATTTATAAGTAAATATTTGTAGATTCTGAGCAGAGCGGTCATAGTAAACAATGACGTATGTTTGTTTTTTTTATGTCTGTGTATATGATAACTATTGGAAATAATGCTTCGATTTTCAATCTCGGCATCTTTTCCGGTCGTAAAATAAATATAGTTGGTGCGTTCAGAAGGTTAAAATTTAAAATTCTCAGTGGTTTTCATGAGTGGCTTGCAAAACGGGAATATATATATATTTAATAATAATGTATTTAAATCGAAATTCAAATGAGTAGATAATTTTTGAGTTACTATAATAATTCTATGATTGCACAACATGTATATAAAAACGAACTTTTAAAGATAATGGCCCTCACAAATGATTTTACAAAAATAAAAAATATAATATGTAATATTAGAATTAGTATTTGTTATACTGTGACAATTAAAAATATGTATAACATGTTGATAGATTAATATTATTTATTTTATTTGTAAAATCATCATTATAGCCCCCATAACTTCAAACCTATTAGATAATACGGGATCTATTGTCCTAAGTACACAAATTTAAATAACGCAAATTGTACTCGTTATAATTTCGATTCAGATATGTACATCCATGTATTTCCAAGAAAGTCATCCGCTTAACAGTTACAAGAAAAACATAATTTTAATGTTAAGAACGATCCTTAAATAGTATAAATCTAAATATTTGAAAGTATGAATAAATAATAAGTATATTTATTCGTGGAAATTCTAAACATAACTACTTGAATAAATTCATTGTTCGATGAAAAAATGTGGATGAGTATGCTTCGTAAATCATTCTGTACAAGTGTATATTTATATGCATATATTTATATTATATATTATATATTTATATATATATATATATATATATTGACACTGATAGGAAATGTAATAGCATCAAGTAATATAGTGTGTCAAATAATAATAAATTGTAATTTGAGCTGTTACGAGATTGAAATAATATTGACTTGGCGTCATAAAACGTGAAAGCGAATCTACACTCACCAGCAGATTGGGTGTGCATAAAACAAATACACCCTAATTAAATTCCAATTCGTAGCTTTATAAATATATATATATAATACGTTTATTTTACACTATCTCCGTACCTTCGTCAACATATCCTCGTAGTTTGTGTTTTGTTGTTTGGAGAAATGTACATTAAACATAAGTGCGTTCACAAAAATAAAATAAAATCGTGGTTGACACAAAATCGAATGGTGTTGTAATTCACAGCATTCCAACATTTCCCGAACGACTACAGTGATTTTGGTTTGAAATTTCTCAACACCAACAACAGTACAGCACACGATACAATAACGGTATTGGGAAAAGTATTCAATAACAAATTATCCTACACTAAAACATCCAAAGTCAAAATATTCAATGGATACAAAATTTAGCATCAAATAATCTACAGATCGATAAAAATATCCAAATTAAAAAAAAGGAGGAAGAGCATATAATATTCGGAAAAAAAATTATAATTTTTACATTATTTTAATGAATTATAAATAATTAATGAAAGCTTAAATTAAAAAAAAAACCCCCCCAATTGTAATTTTTAATGATTGCTATTAAAGATAGCTCGAAATGTTGGATCCGAAAAGAAAAAAAAAATATTTAAAGAGTGGAAGAAAAGCACTCACATCACAGCACACAAATCTACTATCTTTAGACTTACTTACTTTCCATCGAAAATAGATGTAGGATCAGTTGAATATGACCTGATAAATACCAAAATATATGATTTAAAAAACACAAAATACAATAAAATATTAATCAAAAAAAATTCAAGGTGACAATAAATCGTAAAAGACAATTAGTGTTTCTAATAAAAAAAGTAATCTAATTTGACATACTATACCATATTAATATTATACTAACACTATACTTATACCATACTAATTGGACTATAATTCATTTTAGATATATTTAATAGCGTAAATAGCAATCTAATTTTGTAGTTCATTAATATTGTTTTTAAGTGTCTAAGACATTGGAATTCGCACTTTGTATAAAAGAAGCACTTACTACTAACTTATGTGTCTAAATATTATTAAAATACTATTAAAACTTGAAAAACACAACTCGCATTTGACTTAATTTTAAAACCAAATTTATATCTTATACTTCCATTGTTTGAAGCGTAGGTATGTAAACACTACAGATCCAAGCTCTTATATCCTTGATTATAAAAAAAAACACTCTTTTTTTGTCTGAAAATCATATTATGTCGACTAGTTATAGGCAGCTTTACCTCGTTCAGGAGGAAATTTCAAAATTTAAATGGTCATATCGTGTTCATATCGCTTATGTCTTCAGCAAATAATACTAAACGATCCGAGGGGAAATAGATGATGAGTGTTACTCGTTTATTTTGTACTTAAATTTAAAAACTATGATAAGCAGCGATCTATTAAAGAAGCACGACATCATGTGTAAATCAAATATTCTGCTTGTACCAAAAAAAAAAGGCATACAGCCTCTATTTCTTTGCACTCGTGTGAGTAAATATCGCATTTTCCGAAAATTAAAAAATATGTAATTCTTTAGTGACCAGAGGAACACTAACGCGTGTGCGTTTGAAATCCGAAATCTTGCAAGTAACTAGTATACACCACATCGCTCTCTATTCTACCGTGTTTCCTTTTACATGTTGATAGCGTAATTTAAATATTCTTACCAGACCTTTAATCTGTGACATCTGAGTGTGCGGCTATTTTCTCGTTATTTGATCGAAAAAATATGTAGTACGTCGTTTTAACACATACAACATAATAATAGTATTTATAATACCATACACAAATCGCAATTTTTTAATTTTGATTGTGCCTCCACAGATGCACCAGGCTGCAAGACGGACCGGGTGATGGTGATCGGCGCCTCTCGCGGAGAGAGCATGGACGTGCCGTGCGAGGTGGACGCCGACCCACCTGCCAAGGGGTTCAGGTGGAAGTTCAACAACTCGGGTGAGACGATAGACATCGGCCCTGAACGGTACATATCCAACGGCACGGCCAGCGTGCTCAGGTACACACCCGTCGCCGACCTAGACTACGGCACCCTGTCCTGTTGGGCAATGAACGGGGTCGGCCACCAGTCCGTGCCCTGCCTATTCCAAATGGTGGCCGCCGGTAAGCACTCCAATCTATTTTTATGTCTTGAAATATCTTATTTATATTATATTGGTATATAAATAGTTTAAGCGATCAAATACCAAAACGTACTGAACTTTCTGAAATTTAGAAACGCACATTTTTAATTTTTTTTTTTATTAGTAGAATTAAGACAATTTTTTACGGAGTGGCTAAAATATCGATTTAGACATTGTTTTCTTAACCGTTGGAAAGTTTTAAGTTTAAGTTTTAAAAATGTGTAAAATACTTAACTTGAATAATTGTTCAACTATTTATTTGGCGAGCAGATTGTAAACGGGGTTTGAATTGCTTTTTAGAATTTTTTCATAGTAGGTATATAAAAATATACGAAAATAACTCAAAAAGCGAACTGTACCAAACCACGTCATCTAAAGAATTTGCTTACAATTTATATATTGTATCATATTGTGTATATATATTATGTTATAACATTTTTTCCTTATTAAATAGTTGCTGCCTTTCCTTAAAATTCCAAATGCTAAAATTATAACCATGCATAGCAATGAGCAACGATATCGACTATCATTTATTATTATTTCGTTGAATTTGAATTATTTCATGCATTTTTGAGCTGAACTATCGGTGGTCTCGGAATCATTAACGCTGTTTTATATTTATCGAATATTATAATATTTAACTTGGCGTTAAGATTTTATTTTAGATTTTTTAAATTTTTTAAAAATAATATAAGTAATTTCGATTTGCAATAAAATATCAATTAATTTTTTCATGCTATTTTTTTGTTCGTCCTTCGTGTCATTTTCTAATCTATTTTTCTTGTTTTTTCCTATATTTAATACCAATTATTTTCCAATTTAATAGATAATATTGTTGATCGAGTTCAATATTTTTTCGATACGATATGGGTAATATTTATACGATATCGATATCCGAAATTGCATCGTTGCCTATTACTAAATTGGTATGACTTTTTTTGAAACGTCCAATTATGCAACGAAAAATAAATACGGTGTAAAGATTATAAAAAATATATGTATTCATAATAAAGGTATTTTTCTATTATAAGACCGCAAATCAATTATAACCCAGCCATTAATTATATATATTTTTTACAACTTGCTGTTAAACATTATACATGTTTTAAGCGAACTATACATTGATTACATAATAGTGTACCATATTAGTTATTATTGTGGACATATGTGCAAAAAAACAGTTTATACAGTTATAATAATTTATGTAAATACGAGTATAAGCAGTATGTACCAAGCATAATAAGTTCTCCTCTTTTTTTCACCTCCAATTAAGTGGATTAAACTTTGTGTATTAAGAGCTATAGGTCTATGGTATTAAGTTCGAAGATCTGTAGGGGTTATAGTAGGTAAAATTCAAGTAACTAACAAATCCATCAATATTAATAATTTGTAAAAATGTTCCAAGTTTAATGTACTCATTTACTTTATTCGATTCAACATTACAACTTGTTTTATATTTTTTTAATATCATTTTTAAGGGCGACTATCCTTAGTACAAACATTTTAATAAACACAATTTATGAATACATAATATATTATTATGAAGCTACAATTTATATTATAATCATATATGAGACTATAACTTGTTTGTTATTGAAATATATTTTGTACCTACATATAAATTTCCAACCCCATTTACACCGACATCGCAGTTTCAAGCGGAACACGATGACAAGACTTATTTTTAAATATCATATTATTTTCTCGAGCTGCCTTCATAGGAGTAAGGTACTCTTTACTTTTTTGAGTCAAAGGAATGTAATTTTACTCAGATTCGAATTAATTTTTATACCTACCTGCTTTTTATTACATATTATACAGACGTATATTGTAATAACGTTACGTTTACAGTAAACATCATATGCGTGAAGTCACGCAACTATTGCGCGTTTAGGACATTTAGGCAAAAACATGATACATACGTAATAGTTATATTATTATGTACTCCTTGACAAAAAAAAAAAAACAAACAACAAATGGCTGTACATAATAATATATAATAGTGATACCAACATAGTTATTGAATACTGTACCGAAAAACCTTCAACGATTTGTTTTTGTTTTTATTTACGTCGGTATAAGACCGTTCAAGTTTTTCTTAATGAAAAATAAATGGGAAACAGTAAAATATTAATAACAAAAGTTTCTAGTGTACGACACGGAACACGGATCGATTAAAAACACCAACAATGTAATTTAACTCGTTTTTTTTTTTTACCAGTTATATTAAAAAAACATTTTGTTTCCGTTATAATTATTAAGCTTTTGTAGAAAAAAAAATGGTTTTCACCTACAACCTTGTACATCATGTTTTTATTGTTGTTGTATTTTGTTTAAAACGATATTATACAAGTGATGCCTTATGTTATTATTACTAAAATGATATCATCAGCTCTACCACGTGGCACGCGATATGGGTACGTGATTATTATATACCGTGACAAAACTCCAATGCTATCAAAATATAATATTGAGTAATAGTATAAGGTGTGCGGTCTACCGTAATTGTTTCTGTAAAGCATGACAAACTCAAATCTTTTATGTAAAATATATGATCATCTATAATCTTTATGTGTATAATATAATCTTTTAATAAAAACAAATAATACTGTAAATATTAATGAAAAAACTTATTTTTATTATTTTGAAATGTTTTTTATAAGGCATAGGTACCATTAAAATGAGTTATATTTTAACATAATATCATATTATAAAGCTGGTATTTTTAGCATATACATAAAACAAAACCTTAAAATTGTCAAAAATTATTAAAAATAATAAAAACCTACTTTCAAATATAGCTTAGCACATTTACATATAACGTGTTTGGTATAACCCCACAGGTGTATGTATTAATATGATTTTCGTTTTTTTTTTTTTTTTGAGGGGGCATCGTTTTAAATAATAATTTTTAATAATCGTTTGTATTATCTCCATAGATACAATTAGTGTGGGTCCAAGCTCACTCTCAAATATATAAAATTATAAAGCATGATAAAAGTCATTCGAAATGTTTTCTTCGATGAAACAAACAATTGCTTAAGAACGAGCTTACTGCAACACTGTTTCTCTAACAGCAATTATTAATATTGAGTGACATGAAATTTTGCCGAATTATTACATTATGGCGATGTATTGAAAACAAACCATTCGTAATAAAATAAAATTAGAATTTCTTAATTAAAATGTTATATTCTAGAGGTTTTTTAATAATTCTAAGATCTGAAGCGTATATAATAATATAATGTATGAGTAATTACATTTTAATATTTATTTACATTAAAAATCTTGAAAGCGTGGCGGTACTCGATGGGGATGGTATCATATTATGTAAATAAAAAATACTTATTATAAAAACCATTCATAAACTATGCAAACTTATAATATACGGTGTAAGTGTAAGGACATTTTCTCGCAGATTCCCCGAAAAAATGTATGATAATTCGTAAATACATTTGATATTAGTTGCACATATTAATATGAGCTGCAATTTGCACGCAGTTCATCCACTACGCCATCAAAAAGATGGTCATTAATTATTCACAAGTAAAAAATTGAATTGCAGTTTTGTCCCAAGTTTTTTATTTTGCTTGAAGTGTGTGATTTTAGATAACTCTGCAGTAGTGCAATACTGCATAAACTGTAAGCACGTGTAAGCATCGGCTAGGAGTTAGCATTGAATTTGAATTAAATTTAAAATGATCCATAATAATATTTTGTCAATCCACCGGTGCAGGTAAACCGCAGTCGGTGCACAACTGCACTGTCCGGAACAACACCGACGGCGCGGTGGACGTGCAATGCGAACCGGGCTACGACGGCGGCCTGCAGCAGGTGTTCGTGCTGGAGGTGTTCTCCGAGAACCTGGACAGCCAGGCAGACGGCGAGACGCTGTACCGGAACTTGACGGACCGGACGTCACCGCGCTTTTCGCTGGGCAAGGTCGGGCTGGGCGTGCTCTACACGGCTCGCATGTACGCGGCCAACGCCAAGGGCAAGTCCACCGCTGTCACTCTGCCCAGATTTTCGTTTCCCAGCTCCGAGAACCAAATGGGTGAGTACAACGGTCCTGCTTATCGTGACCTTTGGTCCTGGAGTTTTTCCCTGTTTGCCTGTATGTATTGCATGATACGTTACAGTTCAAACTGGTTTTGACAAAAGTCAATCGACTGTTTTCAGTACCTACAATAGTGATAACGTTTTATAGCTGTTCGAGTGTTTTAATTGACACAAATAACCAGCTTTGTCAAAAACTAAAAAAAAAAAAAGGTAAAAATTCTTCCTAAAAACTCGTTATTTCTAAAAATATGTGTTCACTGACCTCAGATGAAAACCTCGTGAACCGCGAGTCGACGAAGACCTCTGATAATATATTCATTGCCGGATTTGGACAAAAGATGAGCTGCTCTGGAGAAAGTAGGACTTACGTTTGACTTAGGCTCCTAAAATTATTAAATTCTTTTCTCAAATTCCATGTTTGACTTATAATTTTGTTTTATAGTTTGTAACATGTAAGGGTGATTTTTTTTGTTATTTTTAAAATTATTTAAACATACAATATACAGTTGTCTCATCCAATACGACGTACTTATTACAGATTTAACAATCAAAAACATATTCAATACATTTCAAAAATATAATATTTATTATTGGTAAAAACGATGTTTTATTGAAATGTATAACTGACTTATGAGAGTCGGTCCTGCGATCGAGTATAATAACAAAAAATATATACATATACAATTCATTTTAATAATATGTTTTTGTCACCCAAATTAAAAACTTGTAATATTAATTGTTTAAATTGGTTTTGCAATTTGATTGGCAGTTATATGTTAAACTGTTAAAGTATACTTGATTAGTTGTCGTTGGACTACTTAATATGATTTTAATTTACATTATTATCGTGTATACCGATATTGTTATTATAGCATAATACCTATATAAAATGTCGTATTATAAATCGTATTTGTTTCTCAAGTAGTCATTACAAATTCTACACAGACCACAGTATCGTAATCGTTCTAACCAGTATATGTTGTAGTGTACATGGGATTATAAAAACCATTCTTCTTGGACGAAGAATAGAAAATTGACTCCCCATTAGATGATGATTTATTTTTTTCATTTTTCGTAGTGTTCATCGATTGTATTTTTATATAAAACCGGAGTACATTTTGGTAAATTCATTGAGATTCAATGCAGCACAATAATTGACTTCATTATTATGTGACGTTTCCAGTTGTTTCCTCAAATATGATGGAAACAATATCAATTCGTATTAAATCCATCTAACTAACTTAGATTATCTATTACGATACAATTGTCATACAACTCTAAGATTTCTGACACCAGATCCCATCGTAGCAGTCACTCAATAATATGTCTAAATTAAACCTGGTGTATATACTATATAGGGATTATAACTATAGGTACGTATTACGCTTCCTGTATCATATATTATGTATCTATATTCTATAACCATATTTAAACTTTGATAATTGTCATTAGTATTCGTGAATAACTTTCCAAATTGTCATTCTTCTATGGAACTTAAAGTGTTCATAAATAAAATAAATTTGAAATTTTATTTACGACGCTTAAAAATCAAAAAAAAAAAATTATTTTCTCTGTTGTGGCTTTTGTGTCTGCTAATTATATATTAGTATGTGAATAAATAATGCAATGCATTTTTAAAACAACTGGTGATATTATGTCAGATGAATCAAGATATACAAAAATAAGAATAATTATGAAGTATGAAGGTGAATTAAGGAGAACTCAAAAAATATTGGATAAAAATTATAATTATATCTCCAACGAAGAATTTAAACACGCCTTTAACATACCTATTATTAAAAGAAATTATTACATCTTTTGATAATATAATAGAGAAAGAGGTGTTTTGGAATGTAAGTTTGGAGTGTATTAATCACTATATGAGTAGAGAACTGAAAGATAACTTTTTAGTATTTACATACTATACACATAATTACGCTGTACGTTATAGTACAAATTTTAGAGGATAATTTGTAATATTTTTACAACGTGACAAATGTTACAAATTCTCTTATAATATTGAATTAGAATGTTATTAATACAATGCGCGGTCTTGGAAAAATATTATATCATCTCAATAATAGCTAATAAGTAATACTAAGCTAGATGATAATTTATCATTATTTTTCATTTGAATTATATCCCTGTTTGTAATTTTTGTTATTTGTTTGAAAAAAATAACATGCGATATTAGTGACTGGTGATATTTTCTAAACGTGTTCGTTGTGTTCTACGTTAAATTAATATACAAAATATTTTTAATGTGAAAAAATACCGCTAAAGATGTCTTGATCATAATTTATTGATTTTTTTAGATTCGTGGTTAGTATGTGCTGCAGGTAAAATGGAATTTGAATGGTTTTTAAATTGAACACTTGATGTCGAAAACTCCCAAAAGAGTATTTTTCTATATCTTAATGCTATCACTACTTTCCTGTAGCTTTCCTGTGTTAATATTTGAATGACAGATGACTAGACAAAGTGACACCTAAATCCGCAGCTGGATCTATTCTTGAAAGTAGTATGCCAACAGTAATGTAATGAAAAACAATTGATTTTCATCAGCTACTACGTGAAAAAGACATTTGCAAACACTTTGATACATTTAACTCTGAAATACTATTGTAAAATAACTTTACAAAAAGGATAGAATGTCAATGTACAAAATAATATGTATATCTAGGCCATAAATATTCATGGTATGGTATGGTATAAGCATGAGTAATATATTAAGGAAAATGCTTCAAATCGTCAGTGAATAATGTCGAAGAAAGTATTATGCACGCATGTCCTACATTATAATATATAACTTATACATTATGTTTATATTCGACGACCTTAAGTTAGGTTATAACGATTTATATACAATATTGTAATAATATAAAATTTTGTAGTCCTTCTCTGTAATAATAATATTATACTACACAGATAGACGATATACTGTTTTAATAATAAATTATTGACGTATTTGGCCGACGTGATGTAGTCCGTGAGTTCGAGAACTGTATGTAGTATTTTCTGTAAATGTCCGCCTCCGCCGTCTCGAGCAGTCTCGGGTTTGATATGTCGACAAGCGCTGCTCTATTTCCAGTACATAATAAAATTGTAAACCAAAATCGATACACCGAAGTGTTTGAAAAAAAACAACCTCACCTGGCTAAGACTCTCAGCTAGTGTTCTTGTTTTCGTTGTTTAATTATCGCATTTAACGACATAATTAACCTAATTTTTATGGCTCAACATACGTTGTTGTCGTCGGCCCGAGAGCGCAAGCGCAAGAATACCCTAACATTCATATTTTTGGTGCAATTAAGGTGGGGTAAAAGGTTTTTCCTTACGATTTTCGTTCGTGTGGCATCGGGTTCACGGCCATACCCGATCCTGACAAAAATAATAATTTTATTTCGGATCATTGATTTTCAAAAGATATCTACGTCATCATTGTTAGATAAGTCAATTAAAAATCAGATTTTCCTGCACTCCAATCACTTTTCTACATTTTTATTTTTTTTTTATGCCAAAGTATTATTGTTTTATCACCAAGTGACAAAAATATAAACAACCTAATGGATACCAAATGTTTGAAGTTCAATGACGATTTTTCATTACATCACGTAATACGTTTAATATTATTGTTATAACTTTAACGTAGAGATATATTATAAGTAAAATTATACACATATTTATTCAATATCGTGTAGTGATTGCAGTAAAAATCCATATGATTCATTGACGTATATTATTGTGGTAAAAATAATGCGATGCTAAACAACGCATACGAATAATGAAGATTTACCTCAAACAACAATAAATGCTAAAAATTATTTTAAAAAAACATACAATTGATGTGAGATGACTACCATATTGGCTCTCATTGTGAACGCGTGTTGTGTGTGTAGACAACTGCACAATATTTTCTATTTTTTTTACATTTGTCATGATCAATGATATTCCCTACGGTATTAATTGTCGATTCATTAAAACAACTAACAATATGAACTTACAACCATAAAACTTTAAAGTATAAAGGTAGGTATAGGTACATACTGAGCCATTGAGGGTGATGTGTTTAAAATATGTTTAGAGCGAATGTGTAAAGAACGCATTTCGTCCTGGATGTTTCTCGTAAACTCATTAATTTTCTTGACGACGGTAAAACACGGCCGTGACCAACCATTTACCGTATCAAACATCTAATAATGCATGTAACGTTTTTGGGCGTATTTAATAAAAAAAACCAAAAATGTTATTTCCGATAAGCCACAGAAGGGCGAAATCCGTATTATAAACTGCTTTATTGCGCGCTGCATTGACGGGTGCTCGCACTCGTTAAATAATTCAGGTCCGCCGCAGAGGTCAGCGTAATGGAAAAAAAAATCCGTTGGCTTAACTTGAATAACGGTTGAGCGTACCTGCCTATATACACAATATTATATTATATATATATATATAAAGTGTCTGACGAAATGACTCTGAAAGGTGTTGTGGTAACCGAAGCCCTTTCCGTGTGTGTATGTGTGTGCGCGCGGGCGCGTCTCCGAGAAAAGGATTAATTGAAACTTTCAAGATGCTGTGCAGGCACAAAGGAATCATATTACAAGTCATAGTAGTAGTATGATACTTTCGTCGACTCCATATTTACCTCACTGGTCTTTTCTATGGGAGGTGTGGCGTGTGTATTATATATAGTATACCTATAGTTGGTCGGCGGTGGTGGTGGTAACGCCGAGAAGACGCTATATTATTATTATTATGTGGGTACGCGAACTCGGAGAGAGGGGAAACAAAATGAATAACTGAAAAGAAGTCTGCGTTGGGAGCTCGTGTAATACACAAACACACACACACATATATATAATCTATATATAAAGTGCACTAATCTTTCAACGCCAGGACTTTTCAAAACCAATGTGTTCATTAAAATTTTAAAAAAAAAATACGACGGTGGTCCATACAGCTCCCCACCATTTTTAATCTAAAATGAAGACATTTCACATACAGAATATTGAATTTTTTAATATTATTATTATATCATTATTGTTTGATAAACTATTTTTGATAGGACTTTTTTGTAGACTTATGTGAGGCGAGTCGTCACACGTATAGTAAAATTAAAATATGTATATATGTCGTTTAGTTTTTGAATCCGATGTGTATATGTTGGTTACGACGCGTGTTTTAAACCAGCCATAATATATATATATATATATATATACATAAGGTAGCTTTACGTTATTCAAATTTCTCCCGACGACGACGTTTAAATGCCATTCTATAGTAGTTGAAAATTCAATTTTACCGCATTGTACACTACGAGGAAATACTATTGTTATGTGCACGTCAGTGCTTTTTTTCCTTAAGAAAAATCGCATTACCTACCTACGGTTTTTCTAAGGATTCGCGTGAATATTTTAAGCCAGAGTACATAAATGCTAGTATAATATGCGAATAGTATATAATATGATGTACCCTATATTAAACTGTCCACGGGTCATGCGGCACTCTACTGTTTAATTATTAACTGTATCCCTTTTCCTTCTTAATAAAGTCGCAATAATGTTTTCTTCCCTGGCCATTTTTTTTTTTTTGCAGATTTCGACAGGCCCAAAGTGTATGTAAAATTTCACGGATATCGTTGTGTGTGTGTGTGTGTGTGTGCGTGTGCGCGCTCGTTCGTCCCGCGGCGACTTGCGAAGAACGTTTAATAAAATATTTATAACGAGCGCGCGCGGCGCATATTAAACGAAAAACGACACACAATTCTCTTTCGGCGGTGGTGCGCGCGAAGGAACTTTCAGCAAGCTTATTATTCATAATTAAATTCAATCTTGTCGAGTTTTCCAGCGGATCGTCATCGTTGTAATTTTCGACTTACCTGTGCCGCAGCAGTGCTTCACGCACACGCGACCTCCACCCCCACGTCGCAACACCCCGCCGAGTCCGTCTTAGCCCACGTCTTTAATTTATTGCAAACTAATGTCACAAATATAACGGAGATGAGGCACGTATAACTTGTCAAGTGTACGAGATCCTCACAAAGTAAACTTTAATTAGCTATAAAGTATGATTGGTTGAAACATTATACAGCCTCGCAAAACCCTCATCGAAAATCTTCAGATATATACAGAAAATATGTGCACACGTACTCTGCACATCGTGACGTACTGAAAGTAATGACAAGTATTATACCATGGTTTGGGTGTATAATAATAATATTATATTATAACTGCAGCTCGTGTCGTTCGTCCAATATCAAAAATATATTTTATTTTACTTACATTTTAGTCACCTTTAATGGACTTTGTGGTGTTTTTCAATCACGCGTAAGACCTTCTAAAACATAAAGTTAAAGGTGACACTATGCACAATAATTCTATTTTAATCTCAAAAGACGCAGTTAAATAATATATTATCATATTTTTGTTAAGAAAACGTATACAGACGTTAACATTTAGGCACTCTTTATTTGTAATTTATTTTTAAAATTGTTTTACGAAACAAATAACACAACAATACTCACTTGGAAATGGCACTAAATATTGTTAAAAAGCTTATAGATTATAAGATAAAATAAAAACAATATTAGGGGAAATACACCAATTCCTGTCTCCATTCTTCGAGATAATATTTTAAGACAAGTATTGCAATACTATTAGTATTATACAATTCAGTATGTGTATGTAATATTATGTAATACTATCAACAGTTTTCAATTAGAAAATGGCATATTGAGCAATTTTTTACATATTGTAAGTTAACAAGAAATATACTCTTTACCTCGAAATTACAAAAAAATATATTAGGTATCTGTTTGAATTTGTATACTTAATTGTTTCGTTTAAAATTCAATTTGGACAATGTTATGTTTCTTGACATTTCGATTGCCAGTCTTATATTGTGTGTCAGTATATTTAGAAATAATACATAAACTACAAAAACACGAAATAATTATGATTTAAGATGCTTTTAATGCAATATAGAGACCACCATAATATATCGTCAGATATTTTTATTCAAAAAATAAAGCTATTTATTAAAGAGAAGAATCATACAATTCTGCCAAACTACCTCTTAAATGTTATAAACAGCCACACTGAATCAATAAAAAAAAAACCTTTATTTGTAGATGTGGCAAGATGGTTTTTTTTAATTTCATTCATTGCAAAAAAAAAAATGAATTCATGAATTCATTTATGTAGCTGATGTTATTTTAAGTTTATTGTGTAAGAACTACTGTAAGTTATAACTAAATACTAACTATAGTTAATAATACAAGATATATTTTAGTTATCAAAAATGTTTCGCTACTTTTGTCCAACTAATGTTTTCATTTATATTTAGTTTCATGGAAGAGTTGATGTTACACTATATTATTATATAGGTACTATCATTATTGCTTTCACAAATTTCTTTTGTGCGCCAAATGGTTCTATCACTTAACGGTAAAAAAAAATTGAATGCTAGCAGAATAGGGTATATTGACATAACTTCATGAGATTTTAAATTTATTTGAAATGTGTAGATTTGTTTTTAAATGTACCTATTAAATCGTCATTTAATCTTGGGTTTTCAACGACCAAAGTACTTTCTAGTTTTCAACATTCAATACCTATATTAACATGATTATTATTGTACTATCTGTTCTTACACTTTAAATATTTAAAATATACAATTATTATTTTTATATCGAACAATCATTTTAATGTAGCTATACATTTAAATAAAAAATATGTGCCATCAACAAACCATTATAGATTTTGTGGACAACATTATTATATGGTATAATTTATAACCAATGGTTTGAGCTCGTACATGAAAATAGCATGTTCGATAATTGAACCGATTATAATTTAGTGGTTATTATGTAGTATATTTATGAACAAACAGTTGATAGTAATAATAGTAACAACAATCATTTTGCAGTTCACAAAATGGTAAAAAAGTTAATTTACCATAGTTTGCGACACCGTCATCGAATAATAACAATAATATTATGTTCATCGCGATTTGTATTTTATCCATGTGTTGAATCAAACGCCTAGACTAACGCGATTTACAATTTTTTGTTTGTTTGTTACAGGTTTTGGCGTCGAAGTGTTAAAAGTGTCACCGATGCTGATAACGATAGTGAGCGTTTGCCTGTTGCTCATCGTATTGGCAACCATCGTAGTTGTCAAACTGAAGACAGCGAACAGTAGAAAACGCAACTCAAGGCAACCGACCGGCGGCGACAAACAAGTGATTGTCCACCAGAGAAGTAACGGACAAGTAGCCTCGTCCATTTTGGAAACGGACACCGATCCTGACCTGATTCAAGTGAAATATGGTAATGAACGCATTCACTTGTCGTCTTATAATTTTTCCAACGAGTAAAATATACACTATATCGGTGTCATATTTTCTTTATATAGTATACCTATACTAGAGTAGGTACTTGCAATTAATACCTAATAATTAAAAAACCACGGGGTTGTGGAATCCCCCATTTATTGGTGGTAAATTGTGACATTACGTACCTCTAACGGTGTAATACATTATTATTGTAACCGTTTTATTAAAAACAATAAATTAAATGTGTACATTTTCAAAAGCTATGTGACGTTCAGCGACTGCAAGCAAATCAATTAATTTAACATTGAAACTTATCTACATGTTGTCCATTTACTTTAATGACGTGAACAAGTGATTCATATAGATGGTATAATATTGTTTTGAAATAGGCGGTAGTTTAGTAGTATTTAATAATTTTTTTCCGATTTACTGAATTCTTGTGATTTTGACAACGGTTTCGGTTTCGTATTATCTATCTATACGAAGTGCGTTTGTAAAGTACGTCACGAAGTAAAAACACCGTATTAATGGTGACGAGATAAGTTTTAAAGGACACGCGTGTCGTTTGGCACTCTCGAGGTTAGACAGTTTTTTTTCTTCGGTTGGATCGAAAACAATCATCCGAATAATAGAGTAGTTTATCACTACGCCACATACATAAATAACACTTAATTCTCGCGAAACTTCCGGAAAACGTAATCTCGTCTACGAAAGTATTATATATATATATATCATAATAACGATAGTGGCGTGGTGGCCTAAACATAAATAATAAAAAAGAAAGGTGTCCGATAAGAGTATGTTTTTCTAACCAATATGTAATATTATGTATATAATAATATAATGTATAGTATAGTTTATACATATATACTATACACGACTATATAAAGTTCAAATAAATTGATTCGGTCGTTCATCTTGAGCCGAGTAAAATATTACGTGAAAATCGAATCAAATTTGTGACTACCTATATATATACTAAGCACCGAGCAGATACACTGATAAAAAAATATAGTATAAAATAATATAGGTTGGATATAACCTATATGGCTATACATTATAAAACACGTGATGTCTAATCATTTCTTGTTATATGTAGGTTCATCTTCAGCACTCGTCCTGCACCGTTAATATTATAATGTTATGACTTATAAAAATATGTCGTATCTATGTGAGCAGAATAAGTTTCGTATGACGTATATAGGTACACTGTTGTACACCGTGCATCATTTATTTTTTTTTTTTTTTTTACCACCGTGTATTTTATTATTTATAAACGGTTAAATTTCGAGACGCGTACTCCCAAATATCGCATAAGCTCGTGTTTTGGAATAAATTTGCATAGGGAAATTCGACGAATTATAATATAAACTGTATAATTAAAAACGCGTCGTTTTAATTTAATAAAATCACGCCAGTGGTGTATGGGAGCGGATCGCTCGGCACCGCGTATGCCTTTTGAATATTATGACGTGTATATTATACTGTATGGTAATACCTCAAATGATATTGTATACCTGCATTAAATGGATACGCATGACACGTGTCACTGATACTATATATAACAATTAACGTTTTGTTTTCCGACATTATTGCTGACGCAAAGGAAACGTATCTACGTCATTGTCAAATACAATATAATACGTATAATATGTTACGAATAATTTAGAGGTGCAGGATGAGAAGAAATTGGTTCCTATTCGACTGCCGTTCAAAGTTTGTCACAATAATTGTATTATGTGTTGCCAATCGAATACAGTAATAATATATGGGCATATAAATAAATATGCACGTGGTTCGGTCGTTTATGTACTGAATTAAGATATACATCAAAAAATACACTAAAATATAGGTGATTGTTTTATTATTATTATTTTTATTGACATTATGCATGTCCACATTTGAATCACTAAAATGCATTTCGAAATCGTCATTCCTCGAATGATGCAAAAAAAAATTATGATGATAAAATGAATGTTATTGTTGAAATTTACTAATCCTGTTGATCTTTGGTCTACAATACGCAACGCCGGTTATTCCTTTTAAGTTTTTACTAGCTAGTTTTTTTAGCTATTATAAGACAGCCAATATCATTGAATACTTACCTCTCCTTCTATCTACACTATTTAAATACTAATTTATAAAACTGAATGGCTACCAGTTCATTAATTATTTGATGTTTTTCGTCGACGTGATTGTGACAAATGGACAAGGCCCATAACTAATGTGTCGGGGACCCCTTAATAATGTAGATTGTAGAACATTCTAAACAAATATGTATGTACTTTGCATGGTACATCATCAACGTCCAAAGCCCGGTAAATATATTTAACGCATTCATTTTATAAAATAGTTATATGTAACTGGTATTTTTTTTTTTATTGTACTCGTAGTTTATTTATTTAATTTTTTTGTGTCTCTCCAATTATCATCGCGTGACACATTTTACATCATAAACACGCTCACATGTATAATATATACATTATACATACAATGCTGGAATCAGATATTTTGGGTACATTTTTCCAGTTTGTAAAATATAAGCCTTAATTTATATAGTGCACATTAAACATATAAAGGTTTCGCTTCAAAATCGTTATGTTTTAAATCGTGTTTTGCAATAACAAATAAAATAATAATAATTCAATTTGCTGAATGATAATGTAAACGATTATTGATTCCCTACTGAATACTAACTTATGCTAGGTAATAAAATATATATTTTTATGGTAAAAATAATATTTTTGATTACTTCTACTGATTTAAAATAGTAGATACTATGTAGGTGTACTAAAGGCAATAAGTAGTATCATTATTCATTAGTAAGTATTTTGTTTTTTATCTGTTGCAACTTACAAAACTGTTGTTTTACAAAGCTTAAAATACTAACAAGTTAGTATTATACCTGACTAATAAACTAAATCATACATTTTAAATAATTAAATACCTGATTTAATGTGTCAGCATTGGAAATCGTAGTCAATTCGATGTTATTCAATTTTTAATTTGTTAGTTTATGTTTTTTAGCAAATAATTGAGCATTTTAATATTCCAACTAAAATGTTGACAGTTGCATATTATGGTACATATTATAATATAATACAAATATGTAGCCATGTGGGTACATTTTAATATTTGTTTTATTTGTGATATTAATTTTTGACGAATTAAAAATTCAAATATCTTTTTCACTTTTTTTTAGTTGCGTTTTTGAATTTTATAAAAACAATTTATATATCTAATTGAAATATGACATTAATTAACATCATGATTAATAAATAGTTATTGGGTTCTGGTGTTGCGTGGTGTATGGTCGTAGTAACCAATGTGTGCTGCGGTCAAGCATTGTCCGCCGTCACTATCTCCCGGATGGATGACCACTCGGGTTTTAGTGACGAAACCCCCCTACATACACGTTTTCCTCAACCAACTGTGTATAATAAACAGTACAAAATGATAGTTGTTGATGCTTAAGTTTGATAAAAATTTAAAAATTAAAAATAAATAGTAATTGTTTCTCATCAACTGTTCAATAATCTCGATAGCTCTTGGAAAGTGGAAATTTCCACCAAATGTAATCTATGTTACATGGCTGATATCCAAGCAAATGTAAGCATATCCCTGATTCTGAAACTCGAAGAAAGTGCTATGGAATAATTTGGTGTGTTAAATACCACCGTTATTAGATATTTTTAAAGCACTCTCTCACTCAACAAGTGCTTCTGTTCTATTTGCTATTTCAAATGCTTCCATCTACAACTTTCTGTCATACTATAGCATAATAATTATAATGCAGTTTATTGGTTTATGTTGATTACGAATAATTTGACTCATTTTACTTCTAAAAGCGCTCATATATATAGGTATTAATAGCTTTAAGAAAATTAGTCACAATAATGGTCAATATGCTAACCTTAATAGTAGACAATAAGACGTTATCAGTATTTTTATTATATGTAAATAATTATGATCTTATTTTGTACTGCAATAATTCAGCCATTGTGTTATTGTATCATCTATAAAATTAAAATTAAAAGCTTTTCGTTGTTAACTGCATCAGTCTAGAATGGCTTGACCGATTTGGCTCATTTTTCAAAAAAAATATATTCATAATACCCCGAATTTTGTTGTCGTGGAACGATAAATTCGACAAGTTTCTCGGAAATTTGGAAAATTCTAGAAGTTCTCAGACGATTTTAAAATTCGGGAAAAATGGAAAGTCTTTTTCCTTGAATTTTTGTCTATACATTTTCGCCATACGCCTTACACAATAAAATAATTTTAACTTCTACTTTTGATATTTGGTCACTATATTATTAATTTACTTTGGTTAATCTGAGATCAATACACTCAAAACCTACAGTTTACAGTAAAAAGAAATCATGCGAATAGGTTCCTTGTGACTTGGAGGGTTTATATCGCTTATTTTTTCAAGCTCTATACCCGGGTAGCTAAAAGGTAGCTCACATATTTAATTTTTTTCGTTTACGAAAAAACAATATTTATGTGTTTATTGCCATTATTTTGGTTACGTAGTATATCAGGTACCAGTGTAGTGGTGTATCTAATTAGTGGATAATATATTATGGTATGCAAGTACATTGTTTTACAGATATATTAATAATAAAAAAAAAAAACAAACTGTCTTTGGGACAGCTGGGGAAATTTATTTATAAATAAACAATTTTAAGAGGACTCTGCACAGAGAGCTCAGATTAGAAATAAGAGTGAATCGACCATATTATTGACGGTAAGGACATTATGAGGGTTTTTTTTTTACATACCGAGTCGATTCTCTCAAATTTTTTTATATCAACAGAGCTAAACGTGATCTGCTGGGCGCGTACAGTTGCCATGTCACTAACTATCTCTTATTACTTACTTGTAAGACGGAGACAGCAAACGCTCGTGCAGAGTCCTCTTAATAAAATATAACTGATGCGTCTTATCTAACATTATGACAGTAACAATAATGACGACCGATCGTGTGTCTTGAGCAGATCCGTCGGACGCGCCCAAACTGCGCAACGGCGGCATACAGTTTTCGGACGACGCCCACGACCCGTCCGTGGCCGGATGGGTGGCCACGAATGCGGCGGCGGCCGTCGCGCAGGCGTCGCAGCCGCCGCTGTCCACGTCTTCGTCGTCGTCGACGGGCACGCTGCGCAGGGGAGCCGGGACGGCGATCAACGACCGCCAACCGGCGCCGGGCGACGCCGCTCGCCGTTGGAACGACGCGACGCCGAAACCGTTTAGCTACACGCACCACCACCAGCACCACCAGCACCGCCAACAGTCACCACCTCCGCCGCCGCCGCCCCAGCCGCCGCACCACGTGCGCGTCCGACCGGACCCGATCGAACTCAACGGGGCGGAAATAAAGGAGAAGCTGATGATGTCCAGCGGTCACATACCCGAGAGTTGCGTGTAAACCTGCAACCTGTTGTTGCCCAGCCGTATTGTATATAATATAATAATGTCATTGTATGTATGTATGTATGTATGTATAATCGAGAAAAAAAAAACAGTACAGTAATATAATATATTGTTAAAATATTATTGTTGTAAAACCGATTTAAGTAAGAACGGGGGTCCATGTAAACTTCGCGACTCCCCGGACTTTTGCCCTCTGCGTGTATAATAATAATGATAATAATAATAATAATAATATATGAATCTTAAAACTTTCCCTGTCGAGTATTAGACCGATTTATCGCTTCCAATAATACGATAAAATATATACTAACACTATTGTGTAGGTACCTTTTTAATGATAATGGTACTGATGATAATAATAATAATAATAATTATGATACTATAATAATAATAATTATGATAATAACATTATAATAGCTGTATTGATCTAGTGTAAATTAATATTATAATATAGGTTTCGGAGCACCGTAGTCGAGTTTGTGTATTATCATAAAATGTATAATAATATACCTAATAAATTGTGTTAAGATTAAACATGGGTCGTCGACGATCATTGACCCGCGCCTATAAGTTGTAATAGCAAACATATTGTATAAGAATTTATTATAGATAGCTTCGTCCCCCGCATGTAATTCGAGCGTCCCGTGCTCATTTAAATAATAATATATTTCGTACTTTTGTTCCTCGTCGTTGTTTTTGCTAATTATAATAATAATACAATATAGCCAAACATATAATTAGGTCGAATTCTACATGTTATTATGATTCATACTGTTCTTAGTAAAATAAAAAAAAAATAAAAAAAAAAATACTTTGATTTAGTGTAATCCTGTTTTGTATGAATATAACAAAATGTGTACACTTAAACGTTACCTTTTATCCTACTGTGTTATGTTAAGTACTCGTATAATATTATTATGTAATAACTACAATTTTATGATCGTTGTTGTTTTGTTTTTAAAAAATAAAACGTTTGTCAAATACTTTCCTCGAGTTATTTTTCATTTCTACGAAGTAAAATCGTCAGCTATCAGCGATGTTATGTCGTGTATATGCTGAATACCTGTATCATCGACGCATATACTTCCGCCGTCAGTGAGTTTTTAGTTTTTTACCACTAACATAACATATTAAAATAAATATTATGCACAATTTTTTTAATTGTTTTTTTTTTACATACGTTTCTCGTGTTATTTTAAAATTATTCTAAGCGTTTAACACCACCACAATATTATAAAATACAATACTAGAATACCGTCTCACACATTACAATACATTGTCAATACATTTAATGTGTGTGTTACCTACGTGTATTACTTACTTCGACGTTTAGTTTTAAACTAATGCGAATGTTTGATAAGCAATGTTTTTTTTTCTTAAATCCATTGAAACATTTTTTATGTTAAATTCACAGTGTTCCTATACTACAGTTTATACCACTTTGTGTATAAACATCTTAATTCAAATCAAATTATAAATTATTAGTCAAATAAAATAATTATTTAACCACAAAATTATTTATAGCGAGAATTGCTATAGAAGAAAAAACAGTGTTTCCTTATGCCTTTATTTGTCCTTTGATGAAAAAATAAAAAGTAACAAATCAGAGCGCTTCTGTGTTTTTATTATATCGTAATAAAATGGACTTTTTGATTTAATCTGGTTACATCTCCTAGTATCAATTACCTATAATATGGTAATGACTAATGAATAATGACAAAATACGTTCAGTCTTTGATCGTCAATGATAATCACTAGGTTTCATCAAGATGTTTAAAATTCTGTCTCATAGTTTTTTCGTCTTCTATTCACGAATCAACTAGTAGCCAAAGGTAAGGCTAAATAAGTACTCTATGATATTTAAAGGATTTTTGAATAGCTCTTTGTTTTGTTCACTTTAAATATCATTATCTGTACACAAAATATAATTAAAATCGTTATTAACTGATGTTTTTTATAATAATGTACTATATCAGATAAATCCGTATAAAACCAAATCAGACACAAATAACAAAATTATTGTTCGCCAAGTAAAGGAAAATAAAATCGTGCAAAAATATTGTTCGTATACTATTCATCCGTTTAAGTACCATTCTTTTTGAAACGTGTTACATGCAGTTACTATAATATGTAGGTATCTCATATCCTTGTTTTTATTTTACCTTATTTAATTTTCAAACATCGTCGTCAGAGAGAGCACTATCCATAAGTAAAATGGCTCACACCCAATAGTCATACACTAAAATATAATTTAATAGAAAATATACAAAATAAGACGTAACTTTTCCAAAGTAACAATTTTTAAATTTATGATATCATCTAGCGTATTGGGGAGAAAAATTAGATTTTAAAATATATAAAAAAAACCTCATCGACCGGAATAACGAAGTCAAACTCAGTGGCTACGCATCTTGAACCGCGCGTCTAATGGCGAGAGCAGAAATTCCGGGTAAATATCGTTTTTAATCTCGTCTCGGTCGTCGTCGTGAATAAACACGGGACCGACTGGCTGGAACGCTATTAGTTTTTCGAAATTGACCTTTTCCTGTACACCTCCCGTCACACTCACTCACACTCTATCGCTATCTGTCTCTCTTCGTCCGTTGTCTAAAAGGCACACAAGCGGAGATATAAAACGACCCCGTCGGCTAAGGGTTAAGAAAATCGTTTTCGCAGACGGCAGCGGTGACGACGGAAATTAATGGTCAACAGCCCTTTGACGTGTGTGTGCTGTTGTATACGATTTGTCTTTTCATGAGCACCGTTCTCATGGCATTCCGTAGGGTCACACATTCCCGCTCTATCTCCGTCACCCCTCATCACTCTATCAATCTCTTTCTCCTGATCTGTCCATCACTCCTCCTCTTCTCTCGGGCCTCTATCCGTATACGTATGTCTGTATGCTTGTCGATTTAATAGCACATATACTACGCTACGACTGCGGCAACGACAACAACTGTACCCGAGTATTTCACCAGGTTGAGACTACTTCGACACGCAGCCCGGTCAAACATGAATTTGTTTCAGGCCTCGGAAAACGTTCTCGGCAGTTTCATGGTATGGTAATTTGGAGTAATATCACAGACGGTACGAGCAGACAGTTGTCGCTTAATGAGATTATTGTTATTATTACATAACACTTGTCCCGTTAAAAGTGCTCCAGACTTTGTCGTTATTATTATGTTTTAATGTGTAATCCACTGAGAATAGTGTTCACAGTTTACAGTTTTGACAACATCCAGCGCGAACACGAAGGAAACTTTGCAAAGTCGCTTATAGAAGGTGTGAGCCTATGAAAATACGCATATAATTATAATAACATAAATACACCGACAAAATAAAGACGCATGGTATTCTAACGGTTATTTTGCTAATAGCATTCTTGAATATTTTTTATATATCCCGGGGCATCATACAACAGTATAAAAATGCTATGTTATTCGCTTTAACTACGCCCACTTTTGACACGGTATACATTTATTACTGTAACTTTCAATTATTGACACTCTTAAATATACAAATATACCACTCAATATTAGCTGAGGACCACGGTGGATTAAAGCGCTATGTATCACACGCATAAAATATGAATTATTTATAATTTTGTTTATAAGATAAAGTAAGTAAAATGTTGTTAGAATTTTTGAAATTCAGGTCTCTTGATTAATATAATGATATTGAATAAAATAATTTTGTGATCGAATTCATTGTAGTGTATGAACAAAATCTGGATAATAATGAAGTTAACTATGCTTTGTTTAAAACCGATACAATCGATCTGATTGATTTTAATATAAAAATAATTATACACTATATTGACTACCTTTTCTTTTTTGTAATGCATGCTTATGGAAATGTCCTACCAAAAATTTGAACTGTCTGAAAATTAACGATTATGTTTTCGTTTTAACGTCACTGCTACTGTTTTTCCTTCGCTTCGCAATTAAATGTGATGTAAAGTAGGTCACAATGGTAAACATCAATTAAACTTTATGTAAATAAACGATTTTTAGTGTCTGAAACTCACGCCCTGGGCGCTGACTCTCTGCTACTTAGAATTAAAATAATCATCGATTTAATACAGACCTAAGTTGAACTCAATATGACTAATTCGTGTGAATCTACATTAATCATTTCACAGCTTTTAGCACAAGAACGTGATACTTATGTGGTTTGAACAATAAATCACCTTTTTCTACAGAGCCATAAGTTCGGAAGGATGCACCACCACGGCACCACCAAAATCACATTTCATCATCGTTATAATATACGAATGTCGACGAATACATGTTTGTGGAAAAGAAAGATCGTGTAAAAAAAAAAAGAATTAAGTGTGGTATAGATTTATAGCCATTAGCCCATCCAAGCGAACGTGTAGCCGGGGAAATCCACACGTATGAGTTGCTCCACTGGAATCGTACAAAATCTCGCAGCTAAAATAACACTAAACACCGGACCTAATTTTGATCTGGTAATAATTTCCCGACGGAGGGATTGTGCTTACAAGCAAACGACCAAACTGCCTTATAATCAAAACTGAAGAAAACTGTTTTGTAAAAATAGCAAATACGCCAAATGCTGTACGTGTGTGTGTTTAACCAGGACAATAATGACATTATATACACTGTTATAGGAGCTATAATATCTTTTATACGTATATAATAAGCGATAAAGTTTAGTGCTAGCGATTTGGACGATTTTAATCGACCGTTACCCGACTACGTGCGTGGACGGAAGTGTTAGCTACGTCGATCGGTGTACGGTTATAAACTGTGTTAATGATTTTTATCACCACGGCGATAATATACTTGGTCTCCATCGTTTTGGTAGTCGATTTGCAAGCAATAATACTGAAATACTATAATATTATGGTTTTGGATGTAAATCTAGGTAAACATATTCAGCTAGGACAAATCACCCGAGTCAGATATCTATACTGTACAGTCAGTCGGCTGGACTGGAAACAATTCTAGTGACATTAATTAGGTGCGAGAGTGCAACGAGATAACCGCCGTGAGTTAGGCTGCTGAGGTACTAGAAGAATCACGGCAAAGGACATTTGAATTCCGTAGCAAGATGTCCCTTTAGTTTCAGATAAAGTAATAATTCATGACACTCAAATTGGGGACACAATAATATTTTCTTTCGTTG